AAAAAAAAAGAGGCGTAATAACGCCTTTTGGAAAGGCGTAATAAAACCTTTTGGAAAGGCATAATAACGCCTTTTGGAAAGGCGTAATAACGCCTTTAAGAAAGGCGTAATAACGCCTTTTGGAAAGGCGTTATAACGCCTTTTGGAAAGGCGTAATAACACCTTTTGGAAAGGTGTAATAATGCCTTTTTTCGCGTTATAACGCCTTTTGGAAAGGCGTAATTACGCCTTTATTTGCGTTATTACGCCTTTTTCCGCGTTATAACGCCTTTTGAAAAGGCGTTATAACGCCTTTTAAATTTTTTTTACCGTAGTTTGATCCTAATAGGCTTTCGTAGTATCGTACTGGAAGGCATGTTTATATTAAAGATTCCTGTTAAAAGCTCTAAGAGTAAAGACGAGTTGGTGAATAATTTTTTTTTCTCATTTACTGAATTTTGAAGACTTGTGAACATCGATGGCGGGCAATATCTGGAATGGTAGAGTTTCGGAGAGTGGTAGATGGGTCCAACGTACACAACTGGTGGCATAACACTGCAAATCAAATCGCCTTCTCTCGAGGAAGCAAGGGCTTTATAGTAATCAACGCCGAGACTAACACAAATCTGAACAGATATTTTCAAACGAGCCTTCCTTCCGGGACATTTTGTGATGTCATATCCGGGTATAATAATCGGGGTTCCTGTACAGGAAGAAGCATATTTGTGCGAAACGATGGACTGGCGTCTATTTCATTGTCACAAAATTCCAACTCGCCTGTAATGGCTTTCCATATTGGTAAGTAATATATTGAATAAGAACTTTATAGAACTTAATATGTCACAAAAATATTTACTTTTTTGATATTCGCCAGAAAAAATCGTTGAAAAAAAAATTATCACTCATTTTGGAAGAATGATTCTTTAAATTTTAAACTTTAATTCAAACATAAGTTCTTGAATACGATATTAATTACCAGCTATCAAACTACCATCTATTAGGGACTAATAAAACCGCCAATAATCATTTGCAATATTTGATATAAAACTATATTATGATATTGTTTAATTATTTAATTTTATCATAATATTCTTTAGGTTCAAAGAGTAGAACAAAATAAATGTAACGAAGAATACAAAAGAGAGCTCGAAGTAATGAAGAATACAAAAGAGAACTCGAAGCAACTTACCATGTACATCAGATTATAGCCATATGGAACATAAAATTTGAAAAATGAATAAAAACAAAGTATTCATTTTATTGTTTATTTCTATATCATTTTACAGTAAAAACCTCGATGAAATCCCACTAGTTTATTGGTATTTTTCTTTCTCATTATCTTTTGTATTTGTACATGACTTAATAATGTAAGAAAGCTTATTTTGCTATAATGCGAAAATCGCTATAAAAACATATTTAGTAAATCCTTTATTGTCCATCCATTTGCTGAAATATAACAAATAAAATTGAAATTGGATACTGCAAACGGCCATAAAAAATAAGGAAAACAGGAAAACACGAAGAGCAGTTTCTTGATATTTCCGTTAACCTTTACACATGCCTCAAGTCTATTCGGCCGGACCACCTCGATCGGCATACTCTTCTTTGGGAATGCTGAAAAGACACCGATTGATGGTATTCCCTATAGGGCATGTCTGGAAGTGTAGCGTCTTCCTGGAAGGAGTTTCTTGAGTTTCAGGAATAAAAGAAAGACACAAGGACTGAGATCTAGGATAATTGGTTGATAGCTAAGCTTCGTAACCGTTTCCTTTTCTTTTTATAAAAATGTTCTTTCCATTTCTATGCTTTAATCTTACATCAATAAACAATTAGATCACATTCGCACTAAACTTTACTCGGTTCCTTTGAAAGTTTTGATTGGACTATTTGAAGAAGCTAAAGCAAATCCATAATTGGATCCTTCAACTGCAGAATACAAACTAGTGTTTGTGATTATGGGTGTTGCCCAGTCCATACTCTTTAAGCCGCCACGTGTGTCGGCAGATATATAATTCTGACCTCGTCGGTTCCTTAAACATAAATTTGCTAACAAAAGAAATGCTGTGAACATTCTTAATCATAAAAAGTTCAGTATTGCAATTGAATTCCACCGTATTTCAAGTTGAAGTCTTCATCCTGATTTTCCTACAGATATTCCCAAACTGTTGCTTCCAAACTTTTCAATTATAAACAAGCTTTTCAGTGCCTAGATATTGAACATTTAAAACAAAATTCTCTTATGTGTTCTTGTTCTTCCTCTTCTTTCAACTTAGTCCCGCTGGACACATTATTACTGGTGTGTTGATAAAGTTGAAGATGAATACCTAAAAGCAAACATATTAAAAGGTTCTAAATACAGGGACCTCCGATCTTTCAATTGGCGGCAGAACTTCATTTCTGTTATGAATTCTGTCGAAGATTATGCCAAACGTTTGGCGAAACATGAATGGGAAGACCTGAACATTTTGTCAGAATGGAGGAAGTGTTTTAGAAATATATTAAAAGAATCGTGTTAGAAAGTTAAAAAACAATATGCGAATCAATCTATCCTTCCGTTTTCACTAATTCATGGGTGATAAAAGAATAAGAAAGGCTCTATTAACAATTTTATGGTTCCAGCAGAAAATTAAGACTTGTAACAATATCGTCTTTGTTTGTCAGGCTCATTATTATTACTATATTTTAGAAGAACTTGGATTTAAATCCTACTTGTACTCACAGTTCACTCTCTTCAAAATCACATTTCAGTTTTTCATACTTTTAACATTCCAGTCAACCAAGGTAAGTCCGATCTACCCAACCTTACTGGATTCATAAACTTCATAAAAATCCTCGGGTAGATTTAGAACCTACAAATATTGAATGTATATGGATTGAAATAGAAAACCCTACCTCTAACTATCTTCTGTGCTGTATATACCGCCCACCACACACTGAAAATGTTTTCTGGAGAAATTTTTCCTGGTCCATAGATAAAGCAGTCGAATTATCCAATCGAATAATAATTGTTGGTGACATAAACACAGATTTTTTAAACATTCCTCCTTCACACCATATATACGACATCATCAACAACAATAACCTCACAAATAGAAACCATGAACCAACGAGAGTCACGAATACCACATGAACACTTATTGACCCCATTTTAACAACACAAAACATTGAAGCAAACGATTCAGGTGTTCTATATATAGACTCCTTTACAAGTGATCACAAAGCAACCTACATATCAATTTCACAAAACTACAATCTTAATCGTGCATATAAATATCACCGTGTTTTGGGGACTGTGGTGATAACTAAGATTTCTAAACCTGAAAAACAGGACAGGAGACAGTCTTAAAATTAAAGCTGTTTATTCGTGAATGTCCGTCGCAAAAGTGATCATTTACAATCATAATAAAAGATATAAAACAATGATACTCTGTATAATTAAAATGAAAGTGTGAGATAATGCCACAAATAAGAACATGTGTTAATTAAACATCATCTCATGAACACACAATTCATTACAGGTATTATAACATGTCTACTGAATATCTTCATTATAAAAATAAATGAGTTAAAATAAAAATACATAATTAATATCAATTGGGAGAATTAGCCTTGTAAAACATTTACTTGGCTATGAGAGGGGTATGAAAGGAATAGACCAAAAATAGAAAATTCACATGTTATTGTTTACAATGAGTCTACTTCCTGTATAGAGACTCTGACTTCCGGTCATACAAAAGGGGGGGGGGGGGGTCCTAATGGACAAACATACAAAGAAACCCTAATCTACTAAATAAACACACTTTACAGTAAAACCTAGTACATTTAACATATTCGGTCAGTGAGTACAAGTACGCATGTACTAAGCTACGTTCTACTAGTCTTGCATATGATTTTACAAACAATCTACACCTACAGCATGTATAATAGTTATGCATCATAAGAACATGTTTACTTACATAGATACTTTCAGCATTTTTCCTTTTTACAAACAATTAATAGAGTAAAACAGTAAAATCGACTGCGTGTTTACTAGAACAACAATGTTTTGAATACTAAATAGAAAACCAGTACAAATATAGATGCAAAATATCCGGAAAGGTCAAAACAGTAAATTCGACTTAATGACTTCTTTCAAAACCTCTATAAAACACTACTTAATAATTTTGTTTCATGACACATACTTTTCAAATATAAAATACAACATATGTTTATCTACAGATTTGTGAAAAGTAACATTTTGTAAATTTGAGATTTTTACTAACATGTACTAGTTTATCAACATGAACTATTAGACAAAATATAAAAATGAAAATAAAGGAAAATACAAAGTACAAAGTAAATCTACATTACCTGAAAAACAGGACAGGAGACAGTCTTAAAATTAAAGCTGTTTATTCGTGAATGTCCGTCGCAAAAGTGATCGGACAAAAACCCGATAGCGCCCCCTGTCCAAGTGTTGAGTTATTCCAGAGACATATAAGAGAGGGACCGCTGACTCATTCGGGACGTTTCTAGACTTTTCACTTTAAGTTGGGTACTCTAATTCCGAATGGAAAAATGATGTTCCGATTTTCGCAGCGCCCTCACCGGGAGGCATAGAAACTATAAACAGTATGGCGTTTCATCATAGAACGGGTAGTAAACATCGCTACAACTCCGATTTTAAGCAAAATTTACTCGTGGCATTAATCGTAGGGGGATGAGTTACTTTCATTTTCATGACGACAAAGAATTGAGAACAAATTTATCTACAGTAAATAGATGGAATCGATCTTCTAACCCCGACTCGAGTTGCATTTTTTCATGATGGCTTGTCTTCTTTACAACATCTACAATGAGAAATACACTGTAACATGTATTTTATAGTGTAGGATAAGAAGACCTTTTTTGACGAGGCCATTTGTTTGCAGTGTTGGTTTTGCACTGGCATGCATTATTTTATTTAGTGGTTACCTATACATGCACGTAACGTTACGTGCTAGATTTCATGCAGCTAGGTTTGTGTATTTCCCATATTTTTTTTTTATATCGTTATATAAATATATCTGTATACATTCATTAAAATTAAAATAAAAAGTGCTGAAATAAGCCCTTTTTTAAAATATCATATTGTGGTATATAAAATATATTATTTTATTTTTTTTTTATTATAACATATCTAAAAACACAAAATACACCATCATGAAACCAAGCATAAATTGTGACTTGTAGTCTAATCAAGCAACTCATACATTTTATCATTTACTGCATTTATAAAACATTGTTACAGGTGCCATTTTGCAAAAAAAAAAGTCAATTGAAAAAAAATTAACTAAAGTGGTGCTGATCAAGAAAACCCCATCACAGTGCACACGGTCTATGCAACTCAAGTACTGCTAATGGTTTTAGGAGCCCTCTATACATTGCACACCTTAGACTTATTATGTGGTACTTATATGCAGGAAGACTGACCTTCTGTTAGATCTACATTCTAATTAAAAATGAAATAATTTGAAGTTTACAGTATATTTATTGATATTAATCAATTCAAGCATTCTTAACATTTATTAAGCCAAAAATAAAATTTAATGAATACTTTATATACATGTATATCAGCCCTGCAAGCTGACAAAGTTAAAGAATGTTTTGCCCATACAAAAACCCTGTATTTTCTACAAAGTATATTTATATGTAACAAACCTTTATACAATTTAAATATTCTGAATGTGAAAAAAATCATAGAAAGGATGATAAAGACTCTTTGTGAATATGTAGAGGTACTTGGTTATTATGTCCTTTATTCAAATTCAAATGACAAACATGTACTCTTGCATGAGCATAACATTGTATATATATATATATATATATATATATATATATATATATATATATATATATATATATATATATATATATATACACTTAAAATAATGAAGTAAAACATGAAAAACCTAAAGCTTTAGGCCTTTTATTCTATCTTCTTCTGCTTTTGTAAAGCTTCTGAAGATAGAATGAAAGGCCTAATGCTTTACTGAGGTTTTTCGTGTTTCTCTTCTTTATTTTAATTATTTTTTTCCGACCACTAAGACTTTTTATCATATATATATATATATATATATATATATATATATATATATATATATATATATATGTACTTGAAAAAGGTGTTCAAAAAAGACAAAAATATGTATTGGCCTTGTAGTAAATTCCAGTTTGTATACGTACATCACATTGAAATTTGAAATGTACATCACATATAAGCTTTTCTTTACTCAGAATTTACAGTCCAAGGAGTGGAAAAATATGTGGAAAAATATTCAATCATTAAATTCTCAGAAGTCATAAAAAAAGCCTTTACAAATTTAATGTCCTTGACCGAGAATAGCTCAGATTTTACCATTAAAAGTTAAGGATATCATTAATTCAGTTGCTGTATTGTTGAAAATCCTCGCAACAGTAGTGCAATACAAGCCAATGTTTGTTTCAGTGGCGATTCGAGTTTGGCCATGTTTGATGCAGCAGCATGGTACAATTTTAAGCTTTGCAGCTTACTAAACTACTATTCGTTGCCTTTTTCATCATAAGATCTCACTTAAAACACCATTATAAAGCAGGTCAAGGTCTTTTGAAAGACAACAGGAAACTTTAGAATCTTGTAGAATCAATCAGTAGAGGTACCATAATATCTGAAAATAGGAAAATGCAAATCAATGAATAAAGAATTTAATAGCTTCATGAGATGAAACCTGGGTTAGGGCAATTGTATGTATATTTAAAAAAAAACACACACACACACACTATAAAAGCAGTTTTAAAAAAACATTCTCCCCCTAAAACAAGGGCACCTAAAGGCGGAGCATCCCCTCACAAAGAGCATAATTATCTTTAAATCATGGCAGCATTCGACATCGATCCTGATGCAAATTTAGATGTTAACAGTTACATGTAGCAGGTTGATATATTTTTTAAAATCATTGTGACATAATAGAAAGAAAATTGCCACTCACTTAATAGATTTTATGGTGGTGGGAATAAAGTCCCACATTAAAATAAGCATTCTGCATTTCCACTGCTGGCAAGCTGTATCTGTTGCTGAGGAAACTGATTTCATACCTGGAGATTACAGGAAGAACCAATTTTCATAAAATTGAATAATGAGTCCTACATGTTTACATGATGTAAAAAATTAACATGCTGATTATTCACTCTTGGACATACAAAAATTCAATCACATGACAGACTACATAAAACCATCAACATTTAAGATAAAATAATACATTCTATGACTACCATCAGGTCTTATGTTGAGAAACTCTCAGGCCCCATAGGAGGGAGGGAATTTCAGTTCTGGGGACACAACCTATTTTAGAAATTTTGGTTGAGCCAAAAAATAGTTTGTCTGACTTTAATTTAATATTTTTTTAAGGGACACATTATAGTAACTGTACAGTAGTTTCTAATGTTAAGCTTTGTATACACTCTGACATGTAACATGTAGTATCGGGGGGGGGGGGGGGGGGGCTTTCCCCTTTTCCAAACATACCCTTTTACACAACCTTTTACTGTTGAAAATATCCACTGAAAGCTGCCCCCCCCCTTCTCCATGAAATAGGATTTCCGACAATTCTACTCTTTTTTTTTTTGGTTTTGCTTGTCCAAGATTTTCAGATGTACCCCCCCCCCCTTAACAATGATACTTAACTACTTGCCTGTATACTGGCAAAATTATTTTCCCCTTGCTCACCGGTTCTTACGGGCCTGAGTCTACAATTATCATGATGATATATGGGAACAACTTTTATACAAGACAAAATTTTAACTCAAATTATTGTATCGATGTGACCATGATCATGACTTGCGTGTCAACATCTGATGATCTAAAGTTCTACGTTTTGTTTTTTTTTATAACTCGTTATAGCTGGAAAAATACATCTAAGATATCAACTTATGTAAATAGTAATTGACGTACAGGCTATATATAATAAAATATAGAATATAATCGCAATATTTACCCCAAAGGCTGCGAAGACAACACAGCAGCTGTTATGACAGGAAGTCTTTCTATGCCTCCCGGTGGGGGCGCTGCGAAAACAGGAAGATAATTTGGCGCGAAAATGAGTCAGCGGTCCCTCTCTTATATGTCTATGGTTATTCTTGCCACTAATTGTTACAAAAGGGCGTTAATCTAAAAGGACTCATACTCGACATCAAACGGAAGATTAACAATAGGGCTTTACGGCAAAATAGAATTTAAGTAATTAAGAAAACAAAGTTCCATTTGCGGAAAACTAAGAAAAGCACAGATTTTACACGAAAGGATGACACTAATTGATTTCACAACTTTTCTCAAGAAAACTGACAAAGGGCCTCAAGTTATTATTTCTTCTAAATCCAAAGCTATGAATTTTATTGCAGTAAATAAAAATACCAACTGGTAAATAAAAATTAATGAAATAAAAATAATTTGAAATTGATAATAAATTTATACTAAATTTATACTAAAAATAGAAAATATATCAGAGAGTCAATTTTACACTACGATAATTCCCTCTTGGTCAGAAAAATCTTTGTCCTCAAAGATAAAAATGAAAAATATCCTACATAAGTGGCAAGCTCGTAGATAATAAAAGTAATGTATCAAAAAATTTTAAAAGACTTGTATATATACACTAAACAAAAGTTTGCAATCTATGAGACACAAAAAAAAATATTCACACCAAGGTATGGTGACTCAATGTCTGAACAAAACACTTAAAAAAAAAAAATAGTTATGTACAAAGCATGTGGTAGATATACCAACTGAACAAACTCAAAACATAATGTATCTCACTCACACACTTAAAGTAAGTCATGCCCAAAAGGAAAAAAATCTTACAGTATTTGAAAATAGTTGTGATGTGACAAAAGAAAATAAGCTGTGTAGGGATGCTTAAGAATGTTACGAATTTTCCAAGCTGTAAAAGGTGATATTAAAATGGTTGTTGGTACGTCCATTGAGCGGTTAGTATGTTTGTTAGTGACCGAGAAGTTAGTGCACTGAATGTGTAGGTAACGGAGGAAAAAATACGAGGTGGTAATATTCACTGAAGAAATGTCCTCAGGGGTCTGTATTGTCCAATTATGTGGACACAGCGGTAGTGTCTGCAGCGTAAAGAGTTCGCAGGTTGGTCCAGTGTTAGTAGTTTTTCCGTCCATAGTACTTTTCTTGTCCAGAGCACACTAGAAAGAAGGGAGTAAGGTAGGGTAAAGAGTGTGCACAATGTACAGTTATGTCAGTATCAGTAGGTACCATTACTGAGAAGCACTAAATTATTTCAAGAAATCATTAAAATTTTAACATAAACGTATACAGTGTACACAGGAGAGGGGTTTAAGAATAAGAAGGGTTAGGTGGAATAGACAGGAAAAGTTTGGAATCTAGTAAAAATACGATCTGGTCCTGTGTCTGCGCTTGCACGCCCATCCCATCTGGAACCATGTTCCTGCACTTCCCTCTAGCAGGCAGGGTATGTAGTCCAGCACCGTTTTGTCTGTTAGTTTGTTCGACTTCTGCCATGCAGTTAATTTCGAAAGCCAGATGCATGGTGACTCACTGCCATTGAATTTGTTAGGTTGGACAGTTGTCATAGTGTTTGGTTGAAGAAGAGTTAAATTTTCTTCAGAAATATCAGCGACTATGCTGTTATTAGATTGTTCGACACTCTGATGAGGATTCTGAGACTCCTCGGAAGGTTCGGTGATGATGTTTTGATGATGATCCAGTGATCCCTCAGAAGGTTGAGTTGATGATGTTATAGGTAGTTGTTCATCACTCTCATGTTGATCAACTGTTTCCACCGTAGAGTGATATGCCCCCGTTTCTTGAAGAATTCCAGCAGTGTTGTTAGACGTAGCTGTCTGTTGATGCTGGGACTCAGCGACAGTAGACTCTGTGTTTGTTGATTCTTGTCCTGTCTCTGATGACTTTGATGTGTTAACGAAGCTTGGGCTCCGCTGCCTCAGGTTGTAGTTAAGTGGTCTATTCTCTTTCATCCGGGACTACCCGGATTCTCCACCATTTATGACCGCGTAGTTTGGGTCAAAAATATTATATGTCGTTGATCGGGTAAGAGGGAATGTTGGCGTAAAACGAGTGGCGCTGTGGGCCGGAAGAAGTAGTGCCGTATTCCTAGGGCTCTTCCCGAAATCACATATCATAAATCCAAAGTAACGGGTAATTTAGTTTCCGAGTTTATTAATAAAAGCATTTAATTTAATGATGGTCAACAATTTTAACATTCAAGAAATACATGCGGGGAACACAGACGGAACTGGCCAGTAATGCGTCAGGCCTCCGAACTACACATACAATTCAGATACTTCTATATATACTGATAAAAGAGTTCTTTGAAAACAATTAGTAAATTGAGTGACAAAATGACATATGTTGAGTAAATTACAATCTGTGAAAAGTTTTGATAAGATGGACATGAAAGAAAGATAAATTAAATAATTACATGAATGTTTTTATAAGGTATTAGAAATTGGTGACGGCGTTAACACTCTGTCCCTTTGTAGTTCTCAACAATTGTCCAGAGAGTATCACTATGCAATTAAGTAAATAATTCGGTATTTCGTAATCCAACAATAAATAAAGATTCAGAACTAATTTCAATGAAAATAATTGACAAAAATTGTATTTAAGTTCAAAATAAAAGTTCAAAAGAAAATTTGTAAAAAGGGCCAATTCTGCACGGTGATATAAACATAAAATATGGCAGTATAAAAATGCAGACATTGAAAAATTAAATAATTTAATTGAATCTTGTGATTGGGATGAGCTAATCTGTAATGCAGAAAACATAAACTCCGCTACTGAGCTTTTTTCTTCAAAATATTTGTCATATGTTCGTGAATGCATACCCGAACAAACAATTACTATAAGACCTAAAGACAAACCTTGGTTTGATTCCCTTTTAAGAAAATTTATTAGAATACGAAATAGATTGCGAAATAAAGCGTTGAAAACTAAAAATGACTCTGACTGGGCTAACTATCGTAAAATTAGGAATAAAGTTAATAATATGAAAAAGCATGCGCTGTCAAACTACTATGACAATATTGATATACAAATCAACGATGCAAATAAAAATAACAACAAATTATACTGGAAGCTAATGAAAGAAGCTTTCTGCACTAAACTTTCATCAGATATACCGCCCATTCACTATATATCCGAAAGTGGAAATAAAGCAACAGCATTTTCTGATCTAGAAAAGGTTGAAATACTAAACAACTATTTCCCGTCTATTTCTAATATAGATGACAATGGCAATGAATTACCGAAAAAATATTCATTATGTAATGATAGGCTAAGTGATATTGTGATTCAAGAACAGGAAATAATTGATATGATATCTATACTTCCGGTAAACAAAGCTATAGGACCAGATTGCATAAGTCATAAAATGTTGAAAGCAACAATCCAGACTATTTCAAAACCATTATGTAAACTATTTAACAGGTCTCTAAAAGAAAAAGTTTTCCCATACCACTGGAAACTAGCTCATGTACTGCCTCTTTTCAAAAAAGACGACCCGTCTTTAACATCAAATTATAGACCAGTATCATTACTGAGCTGCGTAAGTAAAATTATGGAAAGAATAATTTTTAAGCATGTGTATAATTATTTACATACAAATGATTTGTTCTACAAATACCAGGCAGGTTTTCTGCCTGGTCACTCAACCGTTTACCAATTGCTAGAAACATACCACAGTATTGCTAAAAATATTGATGAGGGAAAATCATGTTGTATGATATTTTGTGATTTATCAAAGGCTTTCGACAGAGTATGGCACAAGGGTCTTCTTTTTAAACTACAAACGTATGGAATTTCGGGCAATCTTTTTGAATGGTTTCAAAGTTACCTGAACAATCGTACTCAAAAAGTACAAAGATACTTTGTCTTCTAGCAAGGCTATAAATGCCGGGGTACCCCAAGGCTCAGTCCTTGGTCCCTTGTTATTTCTAATATACATAAATGATGTTTCAGAAAACATGTTATCACTTTGTAGATTATTTGCAGATGACAATTCTATACAAAGTTCTTCGTCAAATGTTGCTAACATAGAATATAATATTAATCACGATCTAGAAGTTTTAGATGAATGGTCTAAAAAATGGTTACTAAAATTTAATCCTTCAAAAACTAAAGCTATATTCTTTACACTTAAAAAAAAATTTGAGCTTCCAAAACTATATTTTCAACAATGTCAAATACAGTGTGTATCCACGCATAAACATCTTGGTCTACTTTTTTCACAAGACTTAAGTTGGTCTGAATATATTAATAGCATAGTAAATACTGCATATAAAAAACTTGGTCTTTTGAAAAAACTCAAATTCACTCTTGGACGTAACACACTTTCTAAATTGTACATAGCTTTTGTTAGGCCTCACCTTGAATATGCATCCGTTGTCTGGGATGGATGTACACAATATGATATTGAAAAATTAGAAAAAGTTCAGCTTACTGCCGCACGAATCATTACAGGTCTCCCCATTTTTGTTTCTAGTGAATCGCTCTATTCAGAAACGGGATGGGAACCTCTCGTAGAGAGAAGGAAGAAAGCTAAATTAACTACAATGTTTAAAATACATAATAACACTGTCCCTGATTACTTAAAAGAGATTTTCCCAAATACTCGAGGGAACATTTCATCATACAATACTCGTAATACAGAAAACTACACAATTCCGAAATGTAGACTTGAAATCTTTAAAAAAATCCTTTGTCCCAGACGTAATTAATAACTGGAATTCTCTCAATCTGGGAGTAAGGGAATTAAAGTCCATCAATCAATTTAAGAAAAGTATTTGTACACCATCCTCTAAACCCCCCTCTTATTTTTCATATGGAAAACGTTTTTGGAATATAATTCACACTAAATTAAGACACAACTGTATCTTAAATAGCGACTTGTATCGGAGAAATATAATTTCTTCCCCCAAATGTACTTGCGGCCAAACTGAAGACATTTATCATTTTTTCTTTGTATGCAAGAAATATGAACGTCCAAGAAATGACTTAATAAACACTATTCTTCAACTTAACCAGCAAAATATAATAGATACTCATTTTTTATTGTGCGGAAACGAATCTTTGTCTACCGATGTAAATATTAAAATTTTCTGTAGTGTCCAGAAATTTATTCGAGAATCAGATAGATTCTAATTCAAAACAGTGTCTTTGATTTCAATATGTATATGCAGTATGAAAATTTTAAATGTTTTATCAAATATGAAAGCTTCTTGTTCAATAAACATTGTAATCAGTGTATATGTAACATTAGAGCTCTGGTAGATTACTCTGAGTATGTGACTTTATAATTTTTCATATATATTACATGTACAACATAAAATTTCGTAAATTATCTCAATTTACTTATTATGACAATCATATATTGTATTCACTGTTTGTATAATAAGGAGAGGATTTATTAAGTTGAAAGAACTTGTATCCAATCCTTTTGTATGTATTATTACAATAAAATATGTTCAAATCAAATCAATCCTCACAAAAATACATAGCCTTGTCCAGCAAATGCTCTACCAAGCCCCTATCTTCACTCCTCGCAAAATATTAACTCCTGTAAAGTAGAAACTTCAGATGCACTGTGATACAGCATATTCTAGAAGTGGTGTAAATCAGATGTGGGGTTTTCAAAAACTCTAAAGAACTTTTAGAAAATTTAAAATCACAAAAGCTTGTAACAGCAAAATGGTTGATTTTTCTACCTTTTATACAGCCATTTCTCACGATAAATTATAAGCTAGGGGTTTTTTGGTATCATAGACAACTGCTTCTTCAATAAAATTGGAACTCGGAAATTTTCATACCTTGTGATTGGTCATCAACAAATTACTTTTTTAAAAATCACTCTGATTCTACACACGAATACTCGGAGATTGATATTAAAAGGATGCTGGAGTTCCTCAATGGCAACATCTTGGTAGTATTTGGAGACCAGGTCTTCCAACAAACTGTTGAAATTTCGATGGGCGCTAATTGTGCTCCTTTAATAGCTGATCTGTTTTTATATTCCTATGAAGCAGAATTTATTCAAAAACTTCTATATGAGAAGAAGAAAAAAATTGATGTGCACTTCAACTCGACATTCATATCGACGACGTTTTATCGATTAAAAATAATTACTTCCATTCATATGTTGACTCCCATTGAACTCGAAATGAAAGACACCACAAAGTTTAACACATTTGTTTCATATTTGAATGTTTTACTGACATAAGACGTTAAGGGCCAGCTAACAAATAAACTGTATGGCAAACGGGATAACTGGCTTTTCTATCGGCCGCCTTCCTTATTTATGTAGTAATATTCCACTATCACCTGCATACGGTGTTAATTTCTCCCTAGTTATTTGATACTCAAGAGGATGCTCAGAGTAGAATAAGTTTTTTTATCGATGCAGTCTACTGACAGATAAATTGATGTTACAGTGCTTTCAACAATCTCCTTTAAAGTTTCGTAAATTCTATGATTGTTATAATGACCTTGTTAATTAGCAAATATAACCTATAAATGGGTCGTATTTTGACTGACATATTTCATACCAATTGTTAGATCTTTGTTTTTATACTCATTTGACTACAGAATATTCTATCTACCTGATCAACACATATGGGTCACGGCGGGTGTGTGTGGTCGTCAGGGGATGCTTACTCCTCCTCGGCACCTAATCCCATCTCTGGAATTTCCAGGGATTCATGCTTTATACCCTGTTCTCAGTTTTGTATTGTTTATACGGTTTTTTTTAAAAGATTGTTCACTGTTCATTATCTTCACTTTTTTGTAGCAGTGTTGTCGTGTTCAAGAAAAACATCACAGAGACCGGATTTTTCACATCACTTACAGAAGACCTGCTTAATTTTCTCAATAAATTTCTGACATAAATCTATTGTAGATGGTCTTTCCTTAGGGTGTAGGTACAGTTACTAAACTTATCGAGTCAAAGAAAATACATACACGTACTGTACAAC